AAGTTGACGCAAATTAAGGATCACAGTCCGTATCTTAGTATTGATGTGAAGGTATTTATATGTTAGAGCAACAGCTATTTATTTATCATGTAACTTTTAAATCTTTTAGCAAATGCCTCATGTAAAATTTTTGAAGAAATATATATTGAATTGTACTGTTTCAGCCTCCACCTAACATATGGAATGAATATGTTTTAGGAACCCTTCTCCTGAGCGCTGGGTCCTTCTTTGGTCTTACTTTTCTTGTTAACAGACATTTCAAAACATGTATCAACATAATTGTTCTTAAATCTTTTCACTACTCGGAGGCACTTTTATATAGGCTATACTTTCTCCTAGTAAACGTCATTCCATAGGAGAGGAGCTGGGGGCCCGAGAAGGCCAAGTGCTTTGGCCATGATCACATGGTGAAATAGAAGAGCTGGAATTCAGTCCTTTATTTTCTCTTTCCAGCGTTCTTTCCACTGTGCCAGGATCTATCTCTCTAGAGATAGATCTCTCTCTCACATACACACCACACACATGATTTTTTGCAAAGTTCTTAAACAAATGGAAACATTAAATAAATTAAGTAGTCAGTGAATGACATTCCATATATGGACTAAGGAGAGTGTGTGTCAGTGATCAATTATAGGTGTAACCTTCCAAAATCTCTAGGAATTATTGTTCCAGGCTACAAGCAGTATAACCTGACTTTTCATGGACTTTTCTTAAACTACTACATATTTTATCTTTATAGTGAAAATGGCACAATCTTAGTTTGCATAACATTGAATAAATTCCAGTTATTTAGGTTGGTTTAAGAAAGGTCCAGTCGTTGCAAAGAGTTACATTAACTTCATTCACGCATTTATTCAGCACTGTTTACTGAGAACTTGTTATGTACCAGGTGCTGGATTTACCATTCTTTAACCCAAGAGACCTTCATAAGGTGGAAGGAGACAGCTATGTACATAACTGGATCAGTTATTGAGGTGATGATATAGTTCAAATTAGATTATTTTAAGTTATGTTATTTTTAAAAATATGAGCATCCATGTTTTTTTTATAATATTTAATTAATTTATTTATGTGTCAGAGAGAGAGAGAGAGCACAAGCAGGGGGAGCGGGAGGTAGAAGGAGAAGCAGGCTCCCCGCTGAGCAGGGAGCCTGATGCGATGGGGGACTCCATCCCAGGACCCTGGGATCATGACCTGAGCCGAAGGCAGGTGCTTAACCAACTGAGCTACCCAGGCATCCCATGTTATCCTTTTCTTAATCTTAGCTTTCTCCTCCCCTCCCGCCTTGTCCCATTTTAGAAATGAAGAAAGATGTTAAGTGAACAACCATGATATAGTGTATTTATTTGCCATTGTTTATGCCTAAACAATGTAACTTCAGATGTAGCTGTTCCATGTTAGTTTTAGCAATTGTTTTAATGCTGATAAACGGATTAAAAAAAAACCCAAAAAACCTCTGTCTAGCAAATGGTTTTGTTTATTATTTGATTTGATTTTTTACTCTGAAGATTCAGTATGTGAGGGGATATAAGGACTCCCTCTAGTGGTAAATTTAGTACTTAAAATTATTTGGTCAAGCGCTACAAGCCAAGGGGTTAGGAGGAAAACTGCCCCAGACTCCTATCTCTTTTATGATCAGTTTTTGAGAACTCACCTATAACTGGCTTTCTTGGTATATTAAGGAGGGAGTATCATTAAGTGATGAAGCAGATGGGCTTTAGTGGGCTCTGAGGTCTACACCTAAATTTAAAGCCCAGCTTAATCACTCTTTTGAGGGTTGGTGTGCATCCGAGTCAGCTAGAGGGCTTGTGAAGACATAGCTTTCTGGGCCCCAGCCTGAGTTTCTGATTCAGGAAGTCTGGAGTGAGAGCCAAGAATATACGTTTATAACAAATTCTCAGGAACTACTGATGCTGCTGATCCAGGGACTGTAGCCAGGGCCCAAGGATGCAGGAACAGCCAGCTCCAGGGGTCCCAAGCAGACTGGGTTCAGCCACTCAGCACTATCAAAATCCAGAGGCAGAGAGACGAGGTGGTGAAACAAGAAAGGGATTTATCACTGAGGCAGACACCGGAAGACAGCAGACTAATATCCCAAAGACTGTCTCCAAAGTGCTGAAAATACTGCTAGGTTTATGTAAGGAAAATGTGGGACAAAGGTTGATGGGTACGTACAGGTGGGCAATAGAGGTCAGGTCAGTCATTGTCTTGGAGTTGATCATGGGTGGGTCTTGCTGGTATCTGGGCAATCCTTATTGCTTGAGGGGGGAAATTTCGATTCCCATCAAGGGATGTTTTGCCGCTGGGTATCTTGCCTGAATTAAAAGATAAGTTGGCAAAACCATACTTTGAGAGGCACGATCCTTGACTCCTAGAGTGATGAAACTAAGCCTTATGTTCCTCAAGGGTTAGCTACAGGGTTGTTGTGAGGATTAATGGAGCAGTAGATGTTAAGTGCTTAGCAGGATACCTGGCGTAGTGAGTGTTCCAAAAGCTTAGCTCCAGTTAATATCATAGATCAGTCAATGATTTCTAATTTGGAAAATTCAAAAAATAATATTTTAATAATATTGTTGAGCCAATATTCTCACTATTATATCAGTAATTTTGCTTATTATTAAGGTCATTGTGCTCAAAACTGTACTAAGCACTACTTTTTTTTTTAAAGATTTTATTTATTTATCTGAGATAGTAAGAGAGCAAGTACACAAGCAGGGGGAGTGGCAGGCAGAGGGAGAGGGAGAACCAGGTTCCCTGCAGAGCAGGGAGCCCAATGCGGGGCTTGATCCCAGGACCCTGAGATCATGACCTGAGCTGAAGGCAGATGCCGACTGAGCCACTCAGGCACCCCAGTACTAAGAACTATTAATAGATCTATCAACATCTCTCTCATTATTAATATATTAATCTTTTTGCATATTGCTTTGAAAAATTGATAACAAAACAAAACAAATACCACACACTGAAGGGAGGTATGTCAGATGAACACAGGGACCAACTGAAAAAACTTCCAATGGCCAAAGCTGGAAAAATTTGAGCAATAAAATACAGTAGTAATGGATTATAACCTGAGGTGAAAAACAAATGGCCCTGAGTCCATGCTGAGATCAACGATTGAATGAATAAAGGACTGAATAAATAAGTACATGGGAAAGAAGAGACAGATCTCCCATGCAGAGAATACCAAATAATTTATGCAGGTTCTCCGCCCTCAAAGAGGTGAAACATAACTACCCACTCCTTAAATGTAGGCAGCACATAGTGACTTCTTTCTAAAGAAAGGGAAAATAGAGTATCTTTACAGTGGAGAAACATGACAAACACCACCTCAACCAGGTGATTAAGGTCAGTATCAACAGTGAGAAGTTATGTTACAAGTATGTACCTTTTATGGGATGTAATGATAATGGTAACTTACACTGTTGGTCTTCCTCCTCAAAATCCATAACTTCAGGGTGATCGTGAGAAACACATCAGATGAATCCAGGTACAGGGACAGTTTACAAAATATCTGACCAGTACTCCTCAAAACTGTCAAGATCATCAAAAATAGGAAAGTCTGAGAAACTGTCACAGTCAAAAGGAGCTTAAGGAGACCTGACAACTAAATGTAATGTGGTATCTTGGATGGGATCCTGGAAGAGGAAATGGACATAAGGTAAAAAGTAAAAACTAAGGAAATCTGAATAAAATATGGAAAAAAATAAATCAAGTTCTTTGACTTTTAGAAAAAAAAGAATACATATTCATTATTAGAAGTTCAATCAAAACTTGAGAAGTATAATAAAGAAAAAAATGCCAGTGTTATATGATATAATGTTATGTTAATATTAGGTGAACATTTTTCTAGATCTATCTATTTTTCTAGATTGATTTATCTATCTAGCTATCTGATAGGTAGAGGTAGAGCACATATATACATATATACATTTACATATATATAGTAGACATGAAGGCAAATAATCTTATAAAAATAGAATTTTTGTGTGTGTCTTAAATTTTTATTTTAGGCATTATTTAATTTTTTTTTTACATTAGGAAATATATCAAACACACAGAAATAATTAACTGAGCCCTAGATATTCATTGGGCAGATTTTACCATATTTGCTTCAGATTTTTTTTTTTTTTT